TCCTTCCTTCCTTCCTTCCTTCCTTCCTTCCTTCCTTCCTTCCTTCCTTCCTTCCCTCCTTCCCTCCTTCCCTCCTTCTTTTGAAAGTCTGAGGACCCTGCTGAGAAATGATGCATCTGACATCTTCATTTCTCCAGAAGACCTTTAGGAGATGGAAGAGGTGGTCAAAAGACTCATAGTTGTAAAGAGATGCCATCTCCAAGAGTGTGTGCCATTAATAAATTTTAGTGCACACATATACACTCTCTCCAAAAGACATAACTATATTTTTTGTGATGGAAACAATGAAAATAGTCATGGTTAAATATATGGAGTGTTGTTGTTGTAATTATTATTATTAGATTTCCCTCCCCCCACCTTTTAAGATGCATTTTTGGTCAACTCAATCCAGTGAACTTACTTAATACTCCTGCCTCCTATTTTTCCCCACAACAACCTTGTGAGGTAGGTTGAACATACAGAGAACCCAAAGTCTCCCAGCTGGATTTCTGTCCACATCAGAACTAAAACTCAGTCTCCTGATTTCTAGGCCTCACCTTAACCACTACACCATGCTGGCTCTGTTCCAAATACATCAATTTGATTTAATTAATTTAGGATCCAATCTGGGTCGGTCACCGGAACCAGAGGTTTTGTCTTCCGAGCTTTTGGACCAGTGGTGGGATTCACTTACCTTCCCTACCGGTTCGTAAATGTGAGCACACGTGCCACCTTCTGCACATGCACACTGCCTTCTGTGCATGTGCAGAAGGTCGTACATTATGTCGGGGTGGGTGGGCGGAGCCTCTTGCAGCGGCCTCTACCAGTTCACCTAAACTGGAGAGGACTGGCTGAATACCACCTGTTTGAGACTCAAGCTGGAGTCCATCTTTAGGGAACTTGAAGGTTAGAGAGAAGTTTCCTGAGGATGGGCTCCAGCACAAATCCGAAAGCTCGGAAGACAAAACCGCTGCTCCCGGTGACCAACCCAGATTGGATCCTGCAACATTATCCTGGGACATGTATATTCACCTTCATTCATTAAAGTATTCCAACTGAATTTCATTACTTCTATGTAATGTTGACATTAATTGGTGAGATTGGTGTAGCTGCTTGCAGTCAGGTGAAAGTCGTGCTTTGCAGATGAGCAGAGGGGGCAGACATACAGTGCACAAACATAATTTTGGTTTCCAGCCTTTCTGCATTGGGTTTGCTTGTAACAGAATTGATTTCCCCAATTTTCATAGGAAACACAGGAGTTCCCAAGACTGCGACCTCATCCCAACCTCTGTGTGCAGGTAGGAACATAGTTTTTTTTAAAAAAAATGGGCAACCTTACATTCAGTTTCCAAGGATCCTCCACAGGACTGGATTATTTTAGCAGACATCAAAAGTCAAAAAAAGGTTCTCTCATTGCTCTGAAATAGAGTTCGGACTGATTTACAGGAGAGAGGAAAAAAAGACCTGAAAAAGAAGGCATCTTCAATGATCTTTTGCTTCTTGGAGCTGCTGTTGTGGTTTTATTGACCTTCATCCACAGTCTGTCTCTTAATCAAGATCATGGTTTTCAACTTTGGCAATTTAGAGATGGCAGGAGGGCTGGGGAATTCTGGGAGTTGAAGTCCACACGTTTTAAAATGGCCAAGGTTGAAAAAAAACATGTCTAGATGTATAATGCCTGCTGTTTCCTGAGCAAGTCATATAAAATAACCATCGCCACTTGAGAGTCTGCTTTATGACTGTATCCAGCATGGAGCAAAATCTCTGCAAAATTACATGCTCCACATTTTATACAAATAAGACAGAGAGAGAGAGAGAGTATAATCCAACTACAAATAAAAGTCTGTTGTTGACTTCCACAGAAAAATTAAATCCTGAGACACTTTTCTTCCAATGTATTTCCCCATTGCGCTTCTATAAGTATCTATCCAGATTCAAATCTGGTCAAGAAAGCCACACGTATTATTACTAACTAGAAATGGTTCTCTTATGTGATTATGTGATAAGTGGTGGTGCCCATGAACGTGGTTCTGATAATCTCCCCAGATTCCAGCAATCCAACTTTTCCCTCTTTGTACAGGTAAGAAGGAATGGAAGTACCTACCTCCAAAGCTGCCTGCAGGATGGTAAGTGCTGATGTAGATGCATGCCAGACTGTTCACACAATTAGCACTTTGGTTTATTCGGCAACATTTATTTTAGCTCCAAAAGTGGTTCCAGAAAGCTCTTTAAGTGGGGAATGGTCAAAAGCCCACAGCACGACTATGGTGCACCAGAACAAATAATAACACATAAAGTTCAAAAATGTCCCCCCCCCCAAGAAAAATTTCAAGGCACACTGGGATGATCTCAGCCACACCAGAAGCAATGAGATGGTAGGCTTCCTTAGATATCAAATCATATCATCTATACCATTTCAACTCTATGGTGCCTTATTATGGTGATTTTATTATGGTTTTATATTAAATTAATATTTTACCTCATATATTGTATTGTCTGCATACCTTTTATTTCTACATATTCTGTGTGTGTACAGTACAGTGTACAGTATATATATATATATATATGTGTGTGTGTGTATGTATGTGTGTATGTATGTATGTGTGTGTGTATGTATATATGTATGTATGTATGTATGTATGTATGTATGTAT